GTTTCTCTCTCTCTCTCTCTCTCTCTCTCTCTTTCTTTCTTTCTTTCTTTCTTTCTTTCTTTCTTTCTTTCTTTCTTTCTTTCTTTCTTTCTTTCTTTCTCTTTTCTTGCTGCAACTCCCGGGGCAGCTTTTGTGCTGGGGTTCTGCATGGCCAGAGATTATGGAATTCATTTGCAAACCAACGGAAAAGGGGTCTCACTAGGGTGCCCGATGATCGCTCTCTTCAAGGGGCTGGGCATTCTGCTGTGAGGATAGGTTTTGTCTGACTGAGCCCCAGTGGGTGGGGTCCCGCTGAAAGGGGGGGGTGGGGGGGGGGATGTTAGAATTCAGTGCAATCTTTGCCATTGTTTCTCTGGGCTTGATCCGGAAGCTGACTCTTAAACTCCAGAAATCTCCTCCTTTGTGGTGTATGTTTGTACTCCTGAGATCTTTTGGGAATCAGGCTGGAAAACCATAAATACTTTTGGCGGCATATTAAGAACATACATTATTTTTGGGGTTCCTTCAGCAAGGCGTTTGCAAATGGGGCTTTTGGGGCCCCTCCCAGCTGCTTCGCCATCAGCCAGAGGTGCTGAAAGAAAAATTAAAATAGATTTTCGCTGTTTTCTTTTTTCTTTTCTTTTTTCTTTTTTTGGCTGGGGGCTGGTTGCCTTTCTTTTTTCTTTTCTTTTCCTTCTTTTTTTTTTTGGCTGGGGGCTGGTTGCTGGTTGCCAGGGCCTTCGGCTCCTGTTGCTAAGGGTATGTTTGCTGAAAGGCTGTTTGTTGTTCGGCCTTGTCTGGAGAATAACCTACGGCTTGGGCTTCAGAAGGTCCTTAGAGGTGAGCGGAGAAATCGGTGCCAACGGACTAGGGAACAATGGCCAAGTGGACGTGGTTCTGCGGGCACAATACCTGGGAGTCTGTTCTTTGTGAATGGATGGTGTGTCCGTCCCCCCTGCCGCAACTGTACAGCTGTTGTGAGGACACCAAAGGCTACCATCCCCAGACCCCGAGGCCTTTTCCGTGGGCCCAGCATTGCACGCTGGCAGTCTCTTCCCCACGCGTGTAGGCATGAAAACCGGAGACGTTTATCTGAGGGCTCTGTTGGAACTCTGGAATCCCTGCAGGGAACTGGCTCGTTACAAGGAACAGTTATGTGCAACGAGTTAAAGGCTGGGTGTTCATTAAATGGCTTGGCAAAACCAGAGAACAGCTGCAAAGGAAATGAGGAAAGGCTCTGAGCAACTTTCAAACGTTACTTTGCAAAAGCGTTTTAAGGGCATTTGAAAGGGATCGAGGGCTGTTAATTCAAGTCAACTCAGATAACCTCAGTTTATTGAAACGGCAGAGGACGTAAATGGACTAGTGGAAAACATATGAGATCTTTTCTCCACCAGAAATAGGAATGGCTCGCTCAGTTCATTGCTGCCCTTGAGATCCTTCCCCTGAGCAGAGAGTGAGACGGCCGCCGGCTTTTTGATCTCCCCCCACCCAGGTCTTTGGAATTTGCGCAGAATATCTCTCCATCTCCTTCCCTTTGAGAAGCAGTTTAGATCGCCGTCGGCCATGGTGTCTTCCTGGGCCATCGGTCGGGAAACGGGTCTCGGGGACCCTGTTTCGCAGCGGGCCCCAGTCTGTTCCGGAGGGGTGGGCTCAGAAGATGGAGGACAGGGGGACCGGGAGGGGTCTCACCCCTGGCCTGTGAAGGATTCAGGGCTTCAGCGTCTCCGTATATGAAGTCAGTGGCCAGGGGTTTGAGGGTTCAGCGTCTCCCGCATGCTGGTGTGACTGAACTCAGAGGATGATCAGATGGGCGTGCGACTCACTCTTCGATTCCCAGAGAAGCCGGATGCGAGAGCATTGCGGGGGGGGGGAGGCTGGACTAGTCTTTCAGCGAAGAAAAGGAGAGGAGAGCTTCACAAACTGGTCTCCTCCTTGGTACAGCCCTGCAAATGGCTGGAGGATATGATGATGCCCCTGTTCAGTGCCAGGCAGGAGGGAACATGTGGGTCATCTTGTCTGAGACCACACTGGCTCTGGGTTCCAAAACGCCTCCTGCCAAGTCCCCTGGATTCCGTTTGCTGTTCCCTTCGCCGTGTCCATACCTCCTAGCTCCCGGCTGCTTCCGTCACTTTCTTACCTGACGTCCGTTCTTCTTCCAGTCTGGAGCAGGAAGCCCATAAACTGAAACTCCATCGTTAACAGAATGCTCATTTCCTCCAAAGACATTCATGGCCTTCTATAAGCTTGGTTGGAATTAGGAGGGAGATTTCCACTCAGGGGGCTAAAAGGGCAAAAGAAATGCTCTGTAGGCAAAGCAGCAGGAGGAGGAAGAGAAATCCAAAATATAAGCAGGAACCCCCCTCCCCCCGCTTATTTCACTTTCCAGGGTTTGGATGGGGGGGTGATTTCGCTAAAGAGCCCCTTCTAGGAAGTCTCCAGGGACCTTGTTTCGTGGTTCAGGTTTTTTCCCCCCGACTCTGGGATGATTGAGGGGTAGGAGCTCTTTGGGTGCAGCAAAACAGCCGCGGTGGGGTGCACGCTGGCCGTGGGCGGCAGGCTGGCCACCCCATGGCACAGGCACGCCTCCCTTTCAGATTCTGCTCTTGTCTGACGCTGCTCTGAGATGCGCCTCCGCCAAAGGCTGTTCGGATGCAACCCTCGGCTACCCTGACCCATCTGTGTTCCAGTCTTGGAGGGGGGGCGGTGTCCATTTTGGGAACTGAAATGGGCAGGTTCTAAGCATTCCACTGTCATTTAAACTGTTTTGTAAATTTCTGTTCACATGACATACAGGGAACATCGGTTCCTTTGGCCAGCCTATCGAGTTTACCACCTCACCAGCGTGGCTTTTTAAAAAAATCATCCAGTCCCTGTATCGTGCTTCAGCATGTGTAGATCAATTTATTTACTTTGCAAATGGGTTGTGGAGGGTTTGTTTTTTTGGCACAGTGGCCTCTGCATGGCCCCCAAGCTTGCTTTTTAAAGGCTTAGCAATAAATCACTTACTTTTAAAACAGGTTCTAAGCATTCCACTGTCATTTAAATCGTTTTGTAAATTTCTGTTCACACGACATGGCTTTTTAAAAAATCATCCAGTCCCTGTATCTGCTTCAGCATGTGTAGATCGATTTATTTACTTTGCAAATGGGTTGTAGAGGTTTTTTTTTTTTTTTTTTTTTTTTAAAAAAAAAAAAAAGCCATAAACGCAACAGTTTATTGATGTTTCGCTTATCCGTTGTCTTCCATATTGTACCCGTAGTCCCTGCTTTTGGCTTTTGTGTGGCTTAGAGTTAATAGTTCCCCCTGGCTTTTCAACAACAGTTTCAGTCCTTTTTAACGCTGCCCTAGAGCTGCTGACATATCCCACCAGGTGACACATGTACTAACAGTTCGAAGTGACAGGAAAATGGCACATACACACAACACTTTACTGACACATCACAATTTTAAAAAAAGAAAAGGACCCTCTTTCTTGCTTACGTCTGAAAGGCATCCTATATGCCCATTACATGGGTGGATGTAATTTGATGGGTGGATAATGGGTAGATTAAAAAGAGGCTGCAGAGGCTTGCATGCATATTAAATAAAGTAGATCTGAAGATCTCGGCGGCTCAGTAGCTGGCATAACCGTGGTGTGTATCTTTTCTCCCCACCCTCTCTGCAGGATGAACGTCCACCACCTCCTGCTTGGGATCCTATGGCTGGGCAGCCACGACCTCAGCGGTGCTTCTGGTGAGTGTTTTGACCGGGAAGGTTTCCACGTGGACCCGTTGTGTGTGTGTGTGTGTGTGTGGGGGGCTGAGAATCTTTCCTTCACAGTCTTAAAGCCTGGGATCCAAAGAACAGCTTTAGTTGTGTCCACGAAAGGATTTGGGTAAGCTCCTTCGGGCAGGGCCGTCCCGACGCAGGGGAGCAACCGATCCCTGCGTTCTGCCCAACGCGCTCTGCGCAGCATCCCAAAAAGGCACTTTCGTCCCGTCCCACGTCCGCTGTCTGAGGCAGTTCACTCTGCCCATTCGCTGGGGCTTGAAGTCAGTCTTCCTTTGTTGGAGAGCCAGACGGTTTCATATCCTGTTTTCAACCGTCTCCATAGTGGTTGACTAGGCAGCGGTTGCTGAAGGGGGCAATCCACCCTTCGGGGGTCCCGAGGAAGCTCACGGGCTCCTGACCTTCTGAAGAGAGCAGGCTTGAACCCATGAAATCTTGGAGGCTTATTCAGGCTTGAAGGTGTATCCTTCGGTTGACTCTAACCATCAGAATTTGCGGCTGAAATTGGGAACTGGTTGCTAGGCTGCCCCTAGCTTTTTTGCTGCCTGAGGCGGGATGAGACATGCCCCTTGTCATTTCCACATGCCCTGCGGCCCCCCCCCACGGTCCTACAGAACTCATGAGGGATGGCAGAAGGGAGTCCAGTATCTCTGGCTTGGTCATCTCCTGCCAGGATCCTTTGACTGATGTATCTGAATATCAGGAAAAACTTCCTAACTGTTAGAGCAGTACGACAATGGAACCAGTGACCTCAGGGGTGGGTGAGCGCTCCAACACTGGAGGCGTTCAAGAAAAACTTAGATAATCACCTGGCAGATCTGCTTTGATGGCATTCCTGCCTTGAGCAGGGGGTTGGACTTGATAGCCTCGTAGGCCCCTTCCAAATTCACTTTTCTACGATTTCTGTGATTCGCCACCCGAGGCAGCTGCCTCACCTTTCTAAATGGTAGAGCCGGCTGGGTCTAGTCCCATTTTTGGCCAGAGTGCATGGGCCTCAATCCACTAGGCCGGTTCCCAGCTAGAGTAGACCCAGTGAATGAATCGGGTTTGCATAAGAGTTCTTCGGCTGGGGCTGGCCATTGCCAGTGCCACCAGGATGGTCTCCATCTGGTACGGTGAGGGTGCAAATGCAAGATCGTCCGTCTTCGCCCTTTCCTTTGCCCTTGAGCAGGCAGACCAGGCTTACTCTGCAGGTCTCTCCGACGGTCTGGTTGCATTCCTCTGTCTGGTGCAACTGTTTACCTGCATGAGGTTGCAAGTTCTCCCAGATCTGGGATTAAGGTCTGTTGGATGTGGCAAGACTGGGCGTGGACGGCGCTCTGCTGCCAAGTGTGACGTGCGTGTCAGTGTCTCTGACCTTTGGCACTGCAGGAAGACAGCCTTCCCCTGTCTCTCTCTAAGGATCGCGTGCCAGGGCTTACACAGTTGGTGAGCCTGGAGGTCCATACTTCAGGGAACGCTATATTCGCCGCCGCTCACAGGAGCCCCTCAACCTAAGGGGATGCTCTCCATGTGCAACAAGGTGGAAGCTGATTCTAGTAGGAAGCAGTTCTTGGAATGCTTTCCAGAGTTTAGAAAACCTACCTTTTAGGGACTTTCAGTGCCCGGAGTCCTTCACCCAGCGTGGCTGGTGGCCGACCAAAGGATTCTGGGATGTGCGCTCCAGAAGAGGAACTTTTCAAAGCATTGAGCAAAAGGGCGGTTGGGTAGGTCTGGAAAAGGATTCTCAAGCTGCTTCAGACAGAATGTGCCGTTCATTTTTTAAAAAAGAAATAACTGGTCTGGTGCTTTGAACTCTGGACGTCTCAAACATCTGGTTTTCTTTGGAGGCTGCCGTGCATGTCCCTGTGAACCCACTGATCCTTCATTGTTCTCCATCCTGGCGCGCTTGCTTGCCTGACATTTTGAGGAACTCCAGCTAGGGGAGAGGCGTGACTCATGGCTGCAGCCAGGATGTGAGTTGCGCTCTCTCTCTCTCTCCCCCACCCCCCAATCATCTGTGGCACATTTCCTGTCTCAAAGGAGGCTTGCAAGCGGAAATGCCCTGAGATGGAAAGTTTTTGTATTGGCCTGGCTGGGAGGCTGGGGACGAAGCGGTCACCCTGGCTCTGGGCCACCTCATGAAGAGAGGGATTGTGTCCCTAACGGCCCATGTGTGTGGTTGCGTACACTTGGAAGGAATCTTCCAGATGGAAGTGGAAAGACGCTGTGCTTGATAAGAATGTTTTGTGTCTGCTTCCACCAGCGGAAGGGTTTCTGGGCTTGGAAAAGCTGGTCCCGGTCAAAACAGCTCAAAACACAGGCAGCGGAGTCTCTCCCACGAGGAGCGTTTTGCTCATGAAAAATGCCGGCCACCTCCTGCGCCTGCAGTGGGAGGCCCCCACCCCACCCCATTGCTTCTCTCGTGGGCCGTGGACGACTCCCACCTTCTTCCCTGCCTCGTCTGGTTTAGAGAAAACCCATTCGCTTGTTTGCTTTGAACTGACCTGAAGTCGCTTAGGAGGCGACTTGTATATGGGAGGCAACAGGAAAAATAAAATAAGTGAAAAGGAGAGGCGAAGCTGAGCAGAGAGGAGTGGAAAGGGCCGCATCCGTATGATGCTTGGGTCCCCGGACGCTGGGGGGCAAAGATGATGTCCTTAAAAGCTTTCCTGCTGAATTATACTTGCTCCTGACTGCTTCCTCTCCAGCATCTGCTTCTTAGAAAAAGCAGGAGTCGTGTGGCATCTGAAAGACGAATGAGTTTCACTGAGCTTAAGCTACCCCAAAAGATCCCAAAAGGCGGATTACAGACCTTGAAAGCGGATGGCGTGGTGAGCACCCAAAGCTTCCTTCCTGGATGGCTTTTTCTTTTTTGCATGCATGCATGCATGCCCCCCTTTCCTCCTTGGGGAACTCGGGCTTCATGGATGCATGAGCAAGGAAGCACACATTAGCTGGCAGCGAGGGGGATACATGTATTGTGAATCCTGTCTCCCCCCCCCCAAGAGTAGAACTATTGTAAGCAGTGAATCTCTGGGATCAACAGCTCCTTTTCGTTTAATGCGCTTGGAAGTAACATAGGCTCTGTCCCCCAGTCTCTCTCTTGCACGTGGGCAATTGGATATAAAAGCTCTGCACACATTTCTGGATATGTGGCTAATGGCAGTGAAGTGCTCCCCGCCCGCCCCCAATGTGTACAATGTGTTTATGCAAGGCTGCGCTCATTCTTCCTTGGAGAGACATTTTGCAGCCCCAGTTCAGAAAAGCTGCCTTGTATTGTGCTGTACACCAGATGTGAAAAGGCTCGGGAAGCCCATGATCTTCTCTCGGGCGCCTGGGATCTCTGAGTGGGATCTTCTTTGCCCACTCTCCCCCAACCAGTGGGAGTCCCCCAATGTCCCCCTCTTAAAAATGTCAAGAACATGACATGCCCCCCCCTCTCCAAGACAAGGCAGTAAATGGCCTCCTTTTTGCAAGAAAAAAAACAAGGACTCCCAGTATTGTTTTCCTTGTCCTGCAAGGAAAGGGCACAGTGTTTTGTGGACCTCCTGACGAGAGAAGAGAACAAGAACTGGGGGTTTGGGGTGCAAAACTGTGTAAAGAACCCCTTGATAACACTTTAACACATCAGATGCAAATGGTGTAGATGTTTGCTGCTTTGTTCCACGGACACGTAAAAAACAAACAAACACACCAACAGCGCCCACTCTCTTGCTTTCACTTGGATTTGGGGAATCTTGCAGGACTGAAATGTCCTTCCATAGGTTTTTTTCTGAAGTCCACAGCCTAGTTATAATAATAATTACTATGGTATGTTGTCAAGTCAGTTCCTACTTATAGTGAGCTTTTTCAGGGGTTTTTGGGGTAGAGAGCATGCAGAAGTGGTTCGGTTCCTACTTATAGTGAGCTTTTTCAGGGTTTTTTGGGTAGTGAGCATGCAGAAGTGGTTCACCAGTCCCTTCTTCTGGAGAGCATTTCTGGCACTGTGCCGGTTGCGACACAGGCTGGCTCTACTCACAGTAAGCCCAGTGGATTTCTGGCACTGTGCCGGTTGCGACACAGCCTGGCTCTACTCACAGTAAGCCCATTGGGGGAATCAAACTTCCAGCCTCTGGCTCTGCAGCTGGAGACCTAAGCCGCTAAGCTATCCAGCTCACTCAGAACTGTTGATCTCGATTCCTGCCTTGAGCAGGGGGTTGGACTGGATGGCCTTAGGGGTCCCTTCCAACTTCACAATGCTAGGATTCTATGAACTAATGAGAAAAAAGAGAGACTTTTTCTATTATTATTATTTCTGTTTCTGCATGGATGCAGGGCCTTGCATCGTACTTTGGAGGAGATATTTCAGCCCTGAACACTCTCTACACGAGTTAGGCGGGGTAGGTGTCTCGGCAGGCAGGGAAGGTTTTGGTGCTCTGATTGTTAACCTTTTTATAAGAACTTGAGCAGTTCCGTTTGGGCCGAGGCCCTGGCACCTGGGCTGGTTTTTGGGCTATTTGCTCTGTCTCCTGGAGGGACAGCAAGATCGTCTGGGCACCGAAGAAGACGGGGACCTGGCATTGTCTGCAAATGAGCAGGGAATGGATCTGAAACGGGTGGGAGGAAGGAAGAGAGGCGGGTGGCAAAGGAAGAAACAGCAGGGTCATTTTTCAGAGAAGGCGTAGGGTCTGATTTGCTCCGACAGGGGTGGTGGGTGGATGTATTTTTCAGCAGACAAACTAGGTAGCCAGCCGTGTGCGGAGCGTGGCTGTCATGCCCCGGGAAGCTTCCCGGGGAGACTTTATGGGTGGTTTGTTTGAGATGTCTACATTTTATGATGGAGCTTTGTAAACAGCGCGTCAGCTCCTCTGAGTCACAGAGAGAAAAGCAGAATGGAAAGCTCTCCCGGGGTTTGGAAGCACGGAGATCCCACACTTTGAAGGGGACCACCACGTCCTTCCACTACCGGCGTCAGCAACAGGCTCCCATCAAAAGGAAGGTCTCCGGCCTGGTCCTGGAGGGCCCCATACACACCTCCATACCTTCGTTCGGACTCTGAGCGCTGCGAGTTGACCGCCAAGGTCCAGCTGGGACTTTGTGGTTGCCTCAAGGTTTAGGGATGAGGTTAAAGTGAGGGTTGGCTGCTTGAGAGGGTGGCGAACGAAGCCCCCCGAGTTAGCTGGATACCGCAGTTCTGTATCCCAGGCATAGAAGGGCCTAGAGGCAAAACGGAGAAATATTATTGTTTTTGATGCTGCTGTGGCTCCTCCTTTTCATAGAATCATGGAGTTGGAAGGGGCCCGTAAGGCCATCCAGTCCAACCCCTCAAGGCGGGAATCCAAGTCAACAGCCGTTCTGACCAGTGATTGTTTAATTCTCTCTTGAAGGCCTCCAGGCGTTGGAGTGCTCACCACCACCTCTCGAGGTCATGGTTTCCTTTGTCGTACTGCTCTAACAGTGAAAAAGTTTTCCCTGGTCTTCAGCCTAAACCTGGCTTCCTGTCAACGGCACCCAGGTCCAACCCCTCAAGGCGGGAATCCAAGTCAACAGCCGTTCTGACCAGTGATTGTTTAATTCTCTCTTGAAGGCCTCCAGGCGTTGGAGTGCTCACCACCTCCCCTTGAGGTCATGGGTCCCATCGTCGTACTGCTCTAACAGTGAAAAAGTTTTCCCTGGTCTTCAGCCTAAATCTGGCTTCCTGTCAACGGCACCCGGGGTTATCTGCCCTGCATTCTGGGATGACTGAGAACAGATCCTGCCCCTCCTCTGTAGGACGACCTTCCAAGGATTTGAAGAAAAAGGCAATCCTATCTCCCCTCGACCCTCTTTTCTCAAGGCCCTCGCCCTTCTAAAGAGGATGGGCTCGGCCCAGCGGTGTCGAGGGTCATCTGTCTCCAGACCTCCGTGTGAAGAAGAAGGCAGTTTCTCACGTGTTATAATCCACCAGCCGCATCACACAGCCCTATGATTGAACCACCATGGCGCCATCCTACAAAAATGCTCAGATTGGTTGGCTGGCGGAAGGCTTAGCATCCGTCGTCTGCTGGAGAATTCCAGCCCAGCCCTGTTGAAATGCAGCAGAGAATTTGAAAAACCTCCTCCTGGGAACCCAGGCGGGGGGGAAGCCCTGGTCCTTAAAGGGGGGGTCGTGCTCCTGGACGTGGATGGTGCAGCTATGCCTTGAGAAGTTCTGATGCCCACGCATGGATGCCCTAGATCTCCACTCTGCTCCCTCTTTGTCCGGCTGCATGCATTTTCTCCTTCCTGCCCCCCCCCCGATTGCTTGAGAAAACACCTTCCCCAAAGAATTCCACCCGTGGCGACTCTTAGCCCACCTGGGCATTGGCATGGCACCCAACGGTCACCACGCTGTGTGTGGCAGCAGGCGGTTGCCACTGCACCCCCCGCGAAGGGGTCTTGCCAGTCGTGAATCTTGGAGGGAGGGAACGTCGGGTCGGCTTTATGGCGATGAAGGAACCCCCCCTTCCTTTTGATTGGCATAGACTTTGCCACAAGCAGGGTGGGGGGCTAGGGGGTCCAGGGACCAGTTTTCGACTCTCAGGATGCCCCGTGGGCTTTTTGCCCTCACTGAAGATGCAGACAGAACTCCAAAAAAATATTGAAAGACGAATGTTTCTTTGGAAACTGGGGGGTGGGGGGGAGAGAAGTGGTTCCAAAGAAGGCAGGTTGTGGGGCTGAGGGACGAGGCGCTCCCTCGGTGGCAAGAGATGGGCCCGGAGCAGAGCGAGGTGAAGTAATCGGCAGGTAATTAGCCAGAGTGCCTGACAAGCCAATTTGTCTTAGTCACGGCTCAGCTTTCTGGACTTTGAGCCACGCCGGCCATCTGGGCCAGCCCTGTAGAATAATGCAAGGTGGATAAAAGTCCAGAAAGAGACAGTCCGGGACTTCTCTCAGCCTAGACGTCACGGCCAGCTTTTCTTGCCCAGTCGCTCAGCACCTCCATGGCAGGATTCGGCCTTTTCCGTGGCCGAGGTGGCTTTATGTGGCCCCCTTCGTATTATTTTAATGCACTGGAGGGGGTTTTCCGTTGGGGGTGCTCACAGGTCTGTGGGAAGAGAAAAGAACGAGACACGAACCAGATTTTGCAAGAATAATCTTTTTTCTAAGGGCTTCTCCTTGTGGTTTGTGAGTTGCTGAGTCACAAAGAGAAGCCCCCCTCCCTCCCTCCTTCCTTCCTGCCCTCCCCGTTCGCTCTTCCTTCCTGGGCAGGCGGCCACGGCGGCCGAACGGCACACTTTGGGTGTTCACGGAGACAGCGCCAAATTCCGCCGTGGCCCTGGGCCAAGCCCGGTTGCAAAACCGTGGTGACTCGGATGCTTTTTATTTTCTAAGCCTGGCCGGGTTTTATTATTCGTCTTGTCCGTCAGCCTCCCTCCCCCTCCCCCCTTTTTTTTAAAAAAAGACATTTCGAATATCTGTTAGCCATTCAATGTGGCCGGGATGTTGAGAGATTAAAGGTTTGTTAGCACCTTGGAGGAATTATATAGAGAATTATGGGACATGGCAATTAACGATAAACTGACATGTGATATGAAAATAAAAAGAGGCCAAATGAAAAAGAATGATTTTAAGAAAATATGGAATGTACTTTTGGAACATGTATTTCGGAGAGGGAGGGGGTTTACACCGAGGGAAGAAACAATGAAATTTTGGAGTGAAAATGATCCCTGAACCCTTTCATGGGTGGTGTACCAGAGGATTTTAATGTTGAAATAAATACGACACCTTTTGACGTTCCTTCTATGCCTCGTCCGTTTATTGAAGAAAAGACAGCTCATCCTAACGAACCCTCACAAAGTGTAATGCTAGTCCTGAAGGTGATGGGAGCACATGGGTAATTGTATTTTATTGTATTGTATTGTTTTATATTTTATATAGGTTTTTTTGTGTAGTAGTAGGTTTATTTTGTATTAATAAATTTAAAAAAAGGTTCATTAGCACTTTGTAAGTCTCTTGTTTTTACCCTGTTTAAAATTATTTCTGCTTGCAGAGTTTAATGATAAAGCCGTTCCTATGTGCTGGGTGACCGTTAGGGAAGCCACGACACAGAAGGAATAGGTGTTAGGTGGGAAAAGGAAAATAGCGAAGTGCTGGCACTGGTTTTTAGGTACGAAACTCTGGCATTGATCAGCTGGAGTAGAAGCAGTTCAGGGAGAGAAAAGAGAGACGCTGCTGGCTTCTCCTGGCAGCTGATGGAGGACTTTTTGCTCAGTCTGTTAAGCATCATAATTTGTGTAAGCTGAGAATCTTGGGAAGGAAGATGGAAAGATAAGGGTTGTAGAAAGTGCCTTTCCTCCCCCGTGCAGCTTGAGGGCTGATTCTGTGATTTGGTTCATGGTCAGTTTGGCCCCAACCACGTTAGGGTGGGCCAAGGATCTAAAGCAAATTGTGGAGATCTGAATCCTTGTACCTTCCGTTGAATTGCATGAGGTATTCGTGGCCCAGGGGTTACACTGCAGCCCTGCAGTCAAGACTCTGCTCATGGCCGGAGTTTGATCCTGATTGACCCAGGTAGCTGGCTCAAGATGGAGTCAACAGTCCATCCTTCCAAGATCCATAAGTTGAGTCCTCCACTTGCTAGGAGGGAGGCCAGGTATAGCAAGCATAATTAAATTGCAACCCCCCCAGAGAGTGCTTTAACACTGTGGGGCGCTATATAAGTAGCACACTCTGCTTTTTTGCTTTTACTCAAATGGCCCTGTCCTTTTGGTTTCACTCTAAAGAAGCTTTTAAAGACCTGATCGCCCCTTCAGAGTGGATAAGCATTTGCCAAGTACTGTAGCAAGCAAGCCTCTGGTGGGGGCTGGGGGAAGGAGGCCTTGTTTTAACGGGGGCTTTTGCAAACTGCCTTTAAAGCTTCCTCTTTTTTTGGTAAAAATGAAATACCCTCCCTTTTTAAAAAAAGCACGTACAGCCTGTTGACTGCATAATCCTGCCAGGTCTCGCTGCTTTTCTCTTGGCACAAATCCATGGTAAGGGCACCCTGCTGGAGCCCCTTCAGAACGCTTGCTAAATTTAGCCCAATGGGGGTTGTGGTCCTTTTTTCGGTGGGTCGAGTGATGCCATTTTTTATTTTTTATTTTTTACTAAGTTTGGCATTGACAGAAAGCAAAAGAAATAAACTTATTTCAGTGGCCCGGCTCTCTTTAACCCCTGTGAGGCAGGTGATTGCACAAAAGTTACGCCTCTCTCAACCGATTTCTCCCCAGAGCGCTGTGACGACTGGGGCGTGGACACCATGAAACACAAGCCGGTCTACAGCGGGGAGCCCGCCCGGATCAAATGCCCGCTCTTCCAGGCCTTCCTGAAGTACAACTACAGCGCGGCTCACGCGGCCGGCCTCACCCTGATCTGGTACTGGATCGGACGAGGGCAGGACCTGGAGGAACCCATCAATTTCCGCCTTCCGGACAACCACATCAGCAAGGAGAAGGACGCCCTCTGGTTCCGGCCCGCCCTGCTCAACGACACCGGCAACTACACCTGCATGCTCAGGTAGCCTTGCGGAGTTCGCGGGCCACCTTTATCTGTTTCCCCTTCGGATTCTGAGATGCTTAAGCAAAGGCGATGCCCAAGCCCAGATGAGGACGGAGACTTGCTTTTTTATATAAACTAAGGTCAGCCCTGAGAAAGCACGTGTCATGTAGTACATCCGTTTTCCCCGGGTGTGTTTTCAATCTCCCCCCCCCCAAAAAAAAACACTCCATCGTGAAACAGTTGAAGGCACTTTTTAGACATGGAGGATGAAGAAGAACGGAGGAGCCCGTTAATGTTTGCTTCACTTTGAAGAAGCAGAGGCAGCCGGCTCACCTTTCTTTGTTCCCGAGCAGGTGGAGCTTTTAGCAAACAGCCCTGGGCATCCTTAGGGCATCCCCGCTCGGTCCCTCGGGCATCAAGACCCTTTTGGGATGCTTCAGATTGGAGGTGGGCATGAACCGGAAAACCAGAGGTTTGTGAACCACCAGAAAAACGAACCTGTTTGTGGTTTGTTTTTCGTCCTCATGCCTAGGGGTGTGGAGGGACCTCCTCCCTCTTCCTCCCTCCTCCTCCTCCTCTCCTTCCCACCACCACTTCCACCACTGCCCTCCTCGGAGACAGCGTCCCTGGCGTCCCCTCCAGGAGCCGGGCCTGCGGCTTCCCAGCGTGTGTCTCACCTGGGCAGCAGGTGGCCAAGGCAAGGAGGCCTTGCTCCTGGAAGGAAGGGAAGCCAGGCCTCTGGTCTCTGGAGACTGGGGTGGCCACGGAGCAGGAGAAGGTGATGGGGGTGGTGGTGGAAAGGGGGGCAGTTGGGTTTGCCAGACAAGGCAAAACAAAACACCAAGTGGGGGAAAAAGTGTGTTTGGCTTTGGCGAAACAGGATCCCCTAATTGGGTCACCAACCAAACTGCGAACCAAACCGATTCATCAGGTTTTTTTCCCTGGACTGTGGTTCAGTTCGCACCCACCTCTGCTCCCGTGGGGGGGGGGAGTGTGTTTAGCTTTGGCGAAACAGGTTCCCCTAATTGGGTCACCAACCAAATCGCGAACCAGACCGATTCATCAGGGTTTTTTTCTGGACTGTGGTTCAGTTTGCACCCACCTCTGCTCCAGGTTGGGACTGCAGGAATGCAGCTGCAATGAAGGGGCTGAGGTGGAAGGAAAGTGGGAAAGTAGGAGGGAATTCTTCGAGTGTGTTTAGCTTTGGCGAAACAGGTTCCCCTAATTGGGTCACCAACCAAATCGCGAACCAGACCGATTCATCAGGGTTTTTTTCTGGACTGTGGTTCAGTTTGCACCCACCTCTGCTCCAGGTTGGGACTGCAGGAATGCAGCTGCAATGAAGGGGCTGAGGTGGAAGGAAAGTGGGAAAGTAGGGGGGAATTCTTTTCCCCTCTCTTCTTTCTTTCTTTCTTTCTTTCTTTCTTTCTTTCTTTCTTTCTTTCTTTCTTTCTTTCTTTCTTTCTTTCTTTCTTTCTTTCTTTGATATACCTTTCCTGGCGTCTGCCCACCTTTGCCACGGGAGCAGCCTCTGGATGGGGTGAACTACAGTTCTCATGATCCCCAGCCCAGGGCATGGCCAAGGAGCAGAGGTTGATTGTATAAGAGAGAGGGGGAGTCGTGGTCCAAGACCCCCTGGGGAACACCAGCTCGGTGATGGGAATCCACGGGAATTTCTTCCAGGGTTCTGCCTGTGGCAGGATCCAGGAAGCCACCTCGGAGACACTGGCTCCTGACTCTCCGTCCCTGGTATTGGTCATTCCACGCTCTGTGTATCTGGACATGGACAGTGGGCTGAGGAGAGATGTCTTGTTAGGTGCTGTCCACTTTCTTTCGAACCCGTGGATTTGTGACCTCCAACGTATCCTGTTGGTTCTTGCATGCTCAAGGCTGGCGGCTTCCTTGAGGGAGTCAATCGATCTTACATTTGCTCTTCCACTCCCCCCCCCAGCGCGATGGCCTTTTCTAGCAAGCCCTGTTTTCCTTACATCCAAACCATGATAGCTTCAGTTGAGTCATTTTTTGCTTCCGCAGAGGGTTCTAACAATAGGTCTGTCCCCTCTGTAGGGATCCAGTCTTTTCAAAGTTCAGGCATTCTGAACCCCAAGAGCCTGTGGCAAGGGGTTCCATAGGCTCACTGTAATGAATTACCCAAGGAAGGGTTCTTCCAGCTTGAAGTGGCTGTAGCTCGGTGGGTTGAAATACCTGGCTGTGGAGACAGGAGCTGGGGTTCAAGTCCGTTCTGGGAGAGGGTCAGCCCCTGTCGCCTGCAGCTTCGGCCGCGGATGGGGTCCCCTGTCACCCGTGTGGCTTTGAGCAAGCTGAACGTCGGTCCCTGAGTGCCACCAGAAGGAGGGGCTGCCGGTAAACCGCCACTCAGCCCTGTGCTGGAATGGACTTGACAGCCCATAATTATAATGAATGAAGGCTGCTTTTGTAAGACTTTTAAGTTCTATGGGGTTATTTGTTTGCTTGCGTGTCTGTTGATGAACCTTGTAAATGCAGTTCCACAAAATGAGTCTCTTCTTATTCACAGTCGTAGACGACATGAGCAGTTATAACAACAACAACAAAGATGTTGCTGATAGATTTGTGAAGTTCAAATGTCCCTTTGAATTCAGAATCCAAGACTTCTTCCTCAATTATGTTTGATGTCCAATACCTAGAAGAATCAGTTCCGCATGTGGAATCTTCGGAACCCTAAATTAAAATATCATTTCAATTGCATACACATGAATTCACTATGTGGAGTCACCCCTCTAACACAAACATATAGGAATTGTGCCTAGACCATGTTGGCAGGGGCCTGATCCGCCCAAGTGGCAACAGCAGCTCTGGCCTCTTCTGTTCTCTTGCTCTTTCTGATTCAAATCTCTTACTCAACACCCTGCTCTTTCTCAGTCCCATACCTTTCGGCTAGACCAATATTTCGCAGGGGTTACCCTGTGTTTGGATTTAGTGTGCACAACCATCTGGTTTTTAGCATTTTCAGAGTGAGTCTTACCTCCTACCGTGGTGGGGTCAAAGCTGTGACCATCTTTTTGGTTTGTTTTTAAAATTTGCCTGCCCGCAGAAACGCCACCTATTGCAGCAAAGTCGCTTTGCCGTTGGAGGTCGTTCACAAGGACCCCGGGTCTTGTGTCAGCCAAGCGGTCAGGCCGGAAGAAGTCCTCCTGTATTTGTCCTACACCAATGTGAACCTCACCTGTCCAGATGTGGAGGGTTACATTCCAGTGGGTGTCAAGCCACGGGTGCAGTGGTATATGGTAAGATCTCTCCCTCTCTCTGTGTTGTGTTGTGGTTGGAGGCTTCGTTTAGGAAACAACATTTTGGATTGACCGTCTTCCTCTTAACTGGGCTGAATGCAGAGAGGTGCTAGTTGGCCTCAGGCAGAGCTTAGCAGAGTTCATTGTTGGGTTCCCCCCCTCCTCTAGACTACATTTCCCAGAAACCCTCAGTGCAGTCAGTCCATGATGGCGTTTAAGGCAACACCACCTTTGAATTACAGAAGCAATACTCGATGACCGTGTGTCGCTCCTGGGAAAACCTCGTTCCTTCCCAATGACCACGAAGATGGCATCTTGGCTCAGAGAGAACAGGGAGAAGGTTGTGGTGGCAGATGAGGTGGTCGCCCTGGCTCATCAGAAAATCTCGGGGCTTTGACCCGCTGAGCCTGGTTCCTCTACACCACGGGCCACGAGGTTTTTCCTTCTTGAGACTGTCTGCCCCTCTCAGTCCCCTGAGTTATGCAAAACCCTTTCCCACCCTCAAGCTCTTCTAACATGCCTAGCTCATCCACGTGGTCCATTTTTAGACCTGGTTTGTGGACACATTGGCATTTATTTATTGTTTTGATTTATATACCGTCCCGTAAGGTAAGGTAAAGGTTCCCCTTGACATTTAGTCAGTCATGTCCAACTCTAGGGCGCAGTGCTCATCCCCGTCTCCAAGCCATAGAGCCAGTGTTTGTCCAAACACAGATTTCCGTGGTCACGTGGCCAGCGCGACTAGACATGGAACGCCGTGACCTTCCTACCATGGTGGTACCTATTTCTCGACTCACATTTTTTACATGCTTTCGAACGGCTAAGTTGCCAGGAGCTGGGACAAGCTACGGGAGCTCACTCCGTCACGAGGATTAGATCCTACGACTGTCCCGTAGCGCTCTGCTAAAGTGTAGCGTGAGAGCCCTTTCTGGGTGGTTTACAATTTAATTAGGGAGGCTATAAATCCCCCACCCCAACCCCAAGCAAGCGGGAGACTCAATTTACTGACCTTGGAAGGATGGAAGGCTGAGTCAATCCTGAGCCCATTGGGATTGAATGCAGGTTCTGAGCAGAGTCTTGACTGCAGTTCTGCAGTTTAACCCCTGTGCTGTGGGCTCACCACCTCCTAGAGTTGTGCTTCAGTGCAGAGCTTTGAAAATATCTTCATGTGCAGTTTCTTGATGATGATGGTTAAAGTATGGTCAAAGAGCAAGCCTGCCCGTTATTTGTAATGTAGATCCCTCTCTAAAGTAGGGGAACTCTCCCTCCATTCCCCCCTTCCCTGAAGTGCGGAGCAAGTACACACGCCATCCATGCTGCCTGTGGAAATGCAGTTTATGGGGCTCGAGCAACAATTTGTGTCTCATTGATCAATATTCCCTTTCTTAAGCGACGAAGGGACGGGCTCAGTTTGACCAAAGGGCCTTCTTGTCCATTAAAAATTCACATCCCGACAATCAATTAGCAAAGCTTTTGCAGATGGTGGTTCATTTGTCCGGCTAATAAAACCCCATTAAAAATGGTACATCGCATCGATCTTAACGTTGGCTCATGCAGACGGATGGGCTTGGAAGTGGGGCTGCTCAGAAGCAATAATCGTTGCAAAAATGGTGCAAATCGCTGATGCTCGTGAGGGGGAAGACGGCACTCATCCATCTCCCTTTCTCTTCCTTAAGGAACTATCAGGAGAGATAGCAGGCATTAAGAGAAGCAGAATTTCCAAATCCCGCGAGGTGCTGGTCCCCCCTCTGTTCAGCACTAGTTAGCCCTCACCTTGAGTCTTGTGTCCAGTTCTGGACATCGGACTTCAAGAAGGATGCTGACCAATTGGAACCAATTCAGAGGACGACGACAAGGATGATGGTCAGGGGGCTGGAAACCAAGCACTAGGGCAGGTTCAGAGGAGGGCAGCAAGGAGGATTGGGGGGGGGGGCTGGAAATCAAGCACTAGGGGGAAAGGATGAAATAATTGGACATGTTTAGCTTTGAGAAAAGAACACTTATCAAATATTTGAAAGGCTGTCCTACAGAGGAGGGACAAGATCTGTTCTTGATCATGCCAGAGTTCAGGACATGTCCGATGGACTCAAGTTACGGGAAGCCAGGTTTTGGTTGAATGTCAGGAAAAACTTGCTAACTGTTAGAGCAGTACGACAGTGGAACCAGTTACCTTGGGAGTTGGTGAGTGCTTCAGCACTGGAGGCATGCAAGAGCATTTTGGACCACCTTCTGTCAGATCTATTTTAATTTGAACTCCTGCATCGAGCATTGTTCTATCATATGTAACAAATAGATAAGTGTGCCGGTTGTAGAGATTTCCTAAGAATTTCAGCTCTTAGAATAAAAAGCCCAAGTTCTCTGACTCCTTTGCTTTTGAAGACAAGGTTATGAACATTCTGAAATTTTGATTCCCAAGCACCTTTGGTCAATAATCTACACACCATTCAAGCGAATGGACTTTCCATATCCAGACAAGCAATAAATGTCTGGGCCAGAATCCTGTTGACTATTTCTGCTGCCCAAAGTCAGTGCTTGTAGATCTTGTCATGTGCAAGGCGTGCAATGGACGCACAACAAGAAACACAAGCTTCAGCATCTCTACTAGCGGCAGGTTCTCCACTTAGATCTGTGCTGGCAAATGTCAACCCCAGTGGGCATCAGCTTCTAGATTCTGGCCCTTGTAACCCCAAATGCATTCCCTACATATAAAGAGTATGCCTGTTTCCTTGGCTGTTGCAGAACTGCAGGCTGGTGGACCATTTCTACGAGCGTCACCCAAGGGGTGTCAACCTGACCTTTGGCATCGTCCGAGAGGTGTACGGGGGCGACTACACCTGCGTTGCGACCTATCAAGAGAACGGCCGGGATTTCACGCTCACCAGGACTTTGAGGGTAAAGGTGGTCGGTAAGAAGGGTTCACGGAGAAGGAAGGGGGGGGAAGGGAAGAAAGAGGCTGTTTTTCTGGAGACCGCCTCGGAAAAAGAGTTGTTTTTATCTCATAAGGAAAGGCCTGGAAGTGGGTTCCCTCTGAAGCAGGGTGAAAACCAGGACGGTGTCACAGTTAGTATGTTGTGGGAGGGTTTGGGAGACTCACAGAGTTGAGGGACTCCTCGGAAGGTCTTGGCCCCTCTCCTAGCCATGCTGGCTTCCTAGGGTTGTGGGGAGGAGGGAACGGGGACCGCCAGAGACCTCTGTCCTCCTGAGCTCCTTGGGGGAAAACTGCAGGATACGAAGGTAACTGAGGGGAACCAGTCAAAAAATCCCAAAGGCGACGGAGTTGCAACCTGTAGGAAGTGTGCCAGCTCCTCCTGGGACCATCAGACATCTCTCAGCACTTGAGGAATCCCTTCTTTTAAGGCACGCTCTGGGCGTTGTGTCGTTCAGACCCAATAAACGGCAGCTGCACCAAGCCTGGTGTCCTCTCTTCTAAACAGCAGGGGGTGTGGATGTGTGTCGGGCAGTGAGGAGCTCTGAGGAATGGTTTCCTTGAGAACAAGGATGGTTCGGAAAAAGAGAGTCGTGTTCGGGTGGCCCTCTAGCCAAGCTTCTATGGACCACCGAATACCCATGCGGGACCCTTGCGAAAAATGCTGGCGGTTGAGGTGCTTGGTCTAATCCTGCCATGTGCGCTGTGTGTGTTTTTGCTCAGGACGTCTGTGCTGAGCAGGGTTGTCTTGCCTTGATGAGGTGCTGAGAGAGATAAGATCCGGAATGGAAGCTGGCTTGCTCGAATGCCGTGGTGTACTCCTCTTGGATCGCTCCCCCTCCACCAAGACTGGTGGCTCCATTCCCATCCACCCACCCCTTTGGCATCTTCCGTAGACCCTGAAGCCTGCTAGGAAGGGCTGGGAGACCCTTCGGAGCAGATTTCCTGGCCGTGCAGGGAGCAGAATGCAAAGAGGAAGCAAGTCCCTGGATCTCCGAAGACACAGTTGGATTGTGGCCGCTGGCTCAACACGGGGGTCTGCTAAAAAGAAAGAGTGGAAGTGATTCAGCTCCACCTTCGAGTACTTACTTCCGCTCCCTTTTGGGCTCCTCTGACCCCGGTAAACTAAATAAACATGGGATGGATTCACATGAACTGGTCATGTTTAGCCTTGAGAAAAGACGACCGAGGGGAGAGAGGAGAGCCCTTTTCCAAGACTTGAAAGGCTGTCGTTCAGAGGAGGGGCAGGATCTGTGCTCCAGAGGGCAGGACATGCAACAATCGGCTCAAGTTAAAGGAATCCAGATTTCAATTGAATATCAGGAAAAACTTCCTAACTGTTAAGTGCATTACGACTGTGGAACCAGTGGCCTCAGGGAGTTGGTGAGCGCTCCAACCCTGGAGGCCTTCAAGAAAAACTTAGATCATCAGATCTGCGTTGATGGCATTCCTGCCTTGAGCAGGGGGTTGGACTGGATGGCCTTAGAGGCCCCTTTCCCGCTCTATGATTCTCTTATTCTATGGCAAGTGATTCTTCACAGCCCTTGAGCTTTGCAGGACTATTTTCAATGGCCAGTTTCTGATTTTCCCCGTGTTCTGTTTTTGTCCTCATCTTTCACAATCCTTCAGTCCTGCAATAAAACACCCAGCGTCTGCTTTCAGTTACTAATAAGTGGGTGTGCTTGGAGGCTGACAAGGTCAAAAAGAGGTGTCTCTCCTAATTGTAGAAGAACTGGCTGTTATTCTTGTTGCTGCCGAGATTTATTTGAGCAACTGGGTGAACTGTGAGCAGCCCAAGACGCTTGGTAAGGGAGTTCCTCCACCGTTTCCTCCCACGACTGCCACCTTTCCCATGTCCTTTCCTTCCTCCCTGCTTTCAAAACGACTCCCCGGCCAACCTTTGAGGTACAAACTTTGCACAACCTCATGGAATTCATTAGAATGGTGCTTATTGGGGTGGGAGGGCGTAGCTTGTTATTCGGAGCAGCCTAATTGTGGTCCTGGGTGTAATTAATTGGAAACAAGCTGTGTTGACCCCAGTTGTTCTTACTGCTGATCCAAATTTGCAGAGTGCAGACAAAAGCAGAACGCCGGCTCGCTAAAAGGCAGCTCTTAGCTTTAATTCGGCGTGACAACCCTGGAAGAAACTTCAGCCTTTAGTAAGGCTGTGGGCTGGATTTGGAGAAAGCTCAGATGGCCCACTGAATGGGCCTGATTCGGATCCTTTTATACGAGGAGCCAAGCGGCGTTTGCAACAAAGCAAAGTGAATTTACAGGACAGATTTTCTAAAAAAAAAATTAACATTATTGCAATATACAAGCAGAACACAGGAAAAAAACAAGGGGGAAAGAGGACGTCTCGAGTGTGAATTAAATCAAAATGAGGCACATGTACTGCCTGAGCCTTTTTGAAAACAAAACCAAGCAGATTTCAAAGGGGGAAAGCCCAAAATCAGATGGGGCACAGATCTTTTCTGGACCAAACTGGGACGCATCCTAATACACCGAAGAGGCTTCCATTGTCAGGAGCCCCCCTCCTCCCAATCGCTAGCACCTGACATTTTTCCAGGCGGTGGGCAAATTTCTTCCCCTGATGCACAGGGGGCAAGATCCATTCAGTATCGTTGGCATTGGTACAGTGGAAGCCCCTTTCATCACCATCAGCGTAAAAAGAGCGGGGCCTGGCCTTAAACCTCTAGCCTGAAGTAGAGAGTTCACTGGAGAAAAGGACCTGTCCGGCCTCTGCTTTATTATTTTCCTCCCTCTTTGACTTCTTCTGTGTTCATCTGTTGCAAAAATTTAAAAACAACAACAACCCTGAAGCTGGTAGAACTTGAAGGCCTTGTTATCACCGCACCGCTTGCCACCCCAAAGAGAGTCCACCAGGGGCTCTTGCTCCCCTTGTGACATCGTCACTCCTGCTGTGGAAAAAGTCTTAAGAGATCCTCACCCATCTGTCTCCCCCCTCCACGGTCACATGGCTTGTTGGAGAGGTTGGAAAAACCCACGCTTTTAGGTGGCATCAAACCCGGTGGGTTGTGGCCACGGGGTGTTCTTGGAGGTCTCATTTTAAAAATAAAGAGGTTTTTGCAAGCCCCGCCTCACTTCCAGCTAATGCAAAACCTGGGGGCGCTGGAGCAGTTTCCTTTTTCCCTCCCGTCTCCTTGTCATCTCTCCATCCCCCCCCTTGCCAGTGAAAGACAGATTGGAGATCCTTTGGGGCAGAGATCTTTCTTTTCATTGTGGCCTCTGGGTCATTTGCCAGATTTATGGGTGGCGGGAGAAAGATTCTGAGCTCCTTTTTAATGTCTCTAGATGGCTGTAAACATTGTGGCTTTCTTGGTGACCACACGGGTGGCTTTCTCAGGCCGCAAGTTTGGTAACGTTTGGCCAAACCAGTCCCCGTTCCACCCAAAGAAGATGGAATCTTCCCGACAGCTCTCTCCCCCCCCCCTTCCCGTAGCTTTCTAAAAGCTCAAAAACAGGAAAACAAGCCTGTCACTTTCAAAAGAAATGGGCTCGGAAGAAAAGGCCGTTCTGACGGGAGTCTCCGGGGAGGGCGGTCTCGCACTCAGGGCCCTCTCCTGGCAAACTCCCCCCCCCCCGCCGCTGGCATCTCCCAGCCTTGCTTGGCTGTGCCCTTTGCTGCCTGTCAGGAAGAGGCTCGTTTGTCAGGACCGAGTCGTTAGAAAGCCTGTTTTGTTCGGGTGTCAAGCCTGACAGGGAGTTAGAAACACCTCCACGCTATAAGAGGGGCTGCTTTGGGGAGGGGCTGGAAGAGGTTTGAAGGGTGTTGATAACGAAGGAGAAGTCCTTTTATTAAGAAAAGAAATAAAAAGAAAAGGAATGGGGAGGAAAAAGGAGGAGGAGAACTGAAGGTTAAGGAAAAAGCGCGCTGAGAATTATAAACCAGGCTAATTTTCATAGGCAATTTCAAGCACGTGGCATTTTCTCAATAAATGTATTGTCTAGCCCGGTATATGGTAGACAATAATCTTATAATAATTCGAGAACAGCACAGCTCAAAGAGACTTTATGAATCGTCGAGGCCAACCCCTGTCATGGAGGCCCAGTGGGGGATTGAAGTCCGCAAGGTAGATGTAGATGTTTTGAGAATCCCAGCTTGTCTTTGAAAACCAAGTTAGCAGTCCTCATGATCGGAATGGTGCATTTGTGCAGGGAGGGGAGCAACCTGCAAAAAAGGGCACCAGAACTCTCCCTTGGAAATCACGTTTGATCCCTTTCTATATCTGCTCAGTAACTAACTGACCGGATTAAATATTTTGTCCTGTGCAAGTGGGAATGACCCCAAAATCAAAAAAAGGGTTATGTGTGTGGGAATATTTCCAGTGTTCTTCTACAGTGTTAACCTGGAAGGAGGCAGATATGGGATACAGGAGTTGTGTGGAGTGGGGCTGGCAAACCTCTCCTGGGGCACGTTGCTCTAATCCTAGCTTAAGATGCCCGTGCGGGGAGCAGCCTGGAATGAGCCACGGTGTCCGTTTCCCTGTCCGTAAAATGGGCATTGACCTGGATGGGTTGCTCCCCTGTATGCTCCCCTCCCTGTAGGGAACTGTTTTCATCTGTTGCAGCAAAAGGAAGATAAAGCCCTTTAAATAATTTTATGACTGAGAAGTATCTTGGAAGCATCATAGATCACAAGCTAAATATGAGCCAACAGTGTGATGTGGCTGCGAAAAAGACCAATGCAGTTTTAGAATGCATTAATAGAAGTGTAGTATCGAAATCTCATAAAGCAGTGGTCCCCAACATTTGTGATGCCATGGACTGGTTGGGGGGGCGGGGTCCATGCATGGGGGGGGAAAACACCCCTCAGACGCATGCACGAAGGAGCTGCTCTTGCTCACGTAGGCATGTGTGAAGGGGTGGGAGTGCTCACACTGTGTGTGCACTCATGCACAGAGGGGCAGGGGGTGCTCGCGAAGTGCGTGCATGCACACTCATGCACATGTACAAAGGGGCTGTGCAGGTGGGCGTGTGGGGGGTGCATTCCGGGGGAAAGAAGATCTGTCTCTGCGGCCTGATCCAGCCAAGGCCACGGACTGGCACTGGGCCACGGACCGGGGGTTGGGGAACCCTTGCCATAAAGGACTAGTCCCCCTGTATTTGACCCTGGTTAGGCCTTATACTGTTAGAGCAGTACGACAGTGGAGCCAGTGACCTCGGGGGCTGGTGAGCGCTCCAACATCGGAGACATGGAGGACAAAATTGGACCACCCTCTGTCGGATATTATTTAATGTGGATCCCTGCCTTGACCAAGGGGTGGAACTCCATGGCCTTAGAGGCCCCCTTCCGACTCCAGGATTCTAGTATTTTTATAGGCTGCAACCCATAAAAGCTGATGCCCAATACAAGATATTGTATTGGGCATCAGCTTCTGTGGGTTGCAGCCCAGTTCTTCAGATTCATGGAGCGTGGCTCCAGAGGCACAGGGAGGAAGATTCTCCCGAAATGTCAGGGAAGCATGGAAGGACCTGCATAAACGCCTGCCTACAGAGCGTCACGTCTGTGCCTCTGAAGACGCCCGACAGCAGCCTCGCAAGAGTATCGGCTGAATCAGTGGCTGCAGGCTTTCAAGCGGCTCAAGATCCCCCCCCCCTTGTTCCAGCGTAGATGAAGAGGGTGGCCGAGGGCTGGGAGGGGCTATAGTGGCTCCTCCTACACAGACCGAGGCGAAAGTGGAAATCTGGGGGGATGGTCCGAACGTCTTTTGGTTTCTGTCATCTCTTCAAGGGCAAAAGTCTTTCTGGAAGATCGATTTCAGTGAGCCGAAATTAATAGAAAAAAATTACTGGAGGTTCATAGGTCAGCTGCAAGGCTTGAAGGAATTCTTGGCATTCGGGGGTCCAGAGGAAATACAGATGTCTCCAGGCTGTGATCAGCTGTCAGTCCATTGCTACTGTGCTCATTTCTGTCTTTAGATCAGGCGGTGGGGGTGCCCTCCGTCCTGGAAAAAAAAGAGGGGACATTAATCACCTAACTAAGTGAGAGTTAACAGAAAAAAAGACACACACACGCCTCTTAATAATCGGAGAAATCATCATCTGAGATCTGCAGAGCTGGCAGGGAGTGTCTGGATCATCGCTTCCAGCCCCTGTCCAGGAAGCCCGGGGGGGGCAAGGGGGGGGGGGGAATCTAACTCCCAACCTGTACTGAGCTTAGGGTTAAATTCGTTTTCTATGTTAGTACAATTCTGATTTTATTAGAATGCACCCTGGTGTAGATCATCATCATCATAATTTTAATTTTAATTTATTGTCATTATTATTATTTCCATAAGTGTTGATTCAGCAGTCGGCAGCTGGTTCAGTGGATGCACCGTGAATGCACAGCTGGGTAACCCTGCTTTCTTTCCTTGTGTCTCTTCCCGTTGGCAGGGGCTCCCGAGAAATCATCCACTCCGCAGATCATTTCCCCCAACAGCCGAGTGATCTATGAACTCCGACCAGGTAAAGTCCCGGCGAGAGCCCCCTTTTCTCCCTCTCGGAAATTAGAAATCAGGTGCCCTCCCGTTGGACCCTCTCCGGCCTGTCCAGCCAAGGGCTCAGAGCTGCAGAGAAGCCTTTCGAAACACCTCCTGTCGGCTTCCCCTGTGGTTGGAAGCCTTCCCCCAATCTGCCTTGGGCTGGATCCAGCCCCTGGGCTAGCCAGCTCAGTGTGGTCCAGACCCAGCCTAGCCTCCGTGACAGCTGTCTTAAGAGTGTCAAACTCTGGTGGGCAGGCATGATATGCCCTGTGATATCTTTATCTTTCTGAAACTATATTTTAAGGCCAAAGAATTCTCCCCCGATTTTTTTTGTTCTTTTTAACCTTCCACCCCCCCACTTTATTAAAACCATCCTCTCTGGTCTTTTGCCGGTGGTGGAGCAGTGTTCTCCTCGCAGTGCCAGGGGCTGGCGTTTGGGTTCCCACCAGCCCTCCACACCCCTGCAACCAACCTTAGGTTGAGGTCACCTAACAACCCCTTAGGCAGACAAAAAGTGGGTGTATGGGAATAGTCATCTAGCGGATGTAAGCCTACCTTAAACTTTTTGGTTTTTTGCAAAGAGGGCGGTGTGCCCCTCTGTTTTATCAGCAGCAAAACCGAAAAACAAAGACTTGGGAAACTTTTAATCAGAGAGTCATAAAATATGTGCCCCTCTGTTTTATCAGCAGCAAAACTGAAAACCAAAGACTTGGGAAACTTTTAATCAGAGAATAATAGAATCCTGGAATGATAGAGTTGGAAGGGGTCTAATCAGGTCTTCGAGTTCCAACCCCCTGCTCAAAGCAGGAATCCAAAGCAGATCAGACAGACGTTGGCCCAGTTTTCCCTTGAATGCCTCTAGTGTTGGAGTGAAGTTATTGATTCCATTGCCGTACTGCTCTAACCGTTGAGAGGTTTTTCCTGATGTTCAGCCTAAATCTGGCTTCCTGTAACTGGAGCCCATAATGACATGTCCTGAACTCTGGGATGATTGAGAACAGATCCTGCCCCTCCTCTGTAGGACAGCCTTTCAAGTGTCTGAAAAGGGCTCTCCTATCTCCCCTCGGTCTTCTTCTCTCAAGGCTAAATATAGGATCATAGAATAATGAAGTTGGAAGGAGAAAGATAAGGCCACCGAGTCCAATCCTCTGCTCAATGCAGGAATCCAAATCAAAACAGATCTGCCGGGAGGTTATCCAGTTTTCTCTCCAAGGCCTCCAATGTTGGAGCGTTCACCACCTCTCGGGGTTTATTGGTTTCACTGGTGTGCTGCTCTAACTGGATGTTTTTCCTGGTATTCAGCCTAAATCTGGCTTCCTGTCACATAAGCCTATTATGATGTGCCCCCCCCCACTCTAGGATGATTGAGAAAAAATGACCTTCCTCTGTAGGACAACCTTTCAAGTATTTTTAAAGATTCTCCCATTTGTGTTGCGGTTGGGAACTCCCATGAGTTGCAGCTGACTTCGTCAGACACATGGGTGTTGTGAACCTGAAGGGATTTGTCTCCCATTCCCGCCCTCTCTGTAGGAGCCGATCTCCTCCTCACTTGCGAGGTGGACTTCACCTTCCTGAAAGACTCCCCGCAGGAGGTCTGGTGGACCATCGATGGAAGGAACACGGACAACATCGTGGACCTCCGATTCAATGTCACCCATGAGTAAGCCCCCCAGAATAGTGCCCTAGCCACGAGATGGGCAGGGTAAACATTGAAATGGATGGACAGACGGTTGGATGGATGGATGGATGGATGGATGGATGGATGGATGGATGGATGGATGGATGGATGGATGGATGGATGGATGGATGGACTGAGAAATTGGATGGATGGACAGATGGACGGACGGATGGATGGGTGGATGGAAGGGGGCCCATAAAGCCATCTTCTGGATGATGGAATGGATGGATGGACTGAGAAATTGGATGGATGGACAGATGGACGGACGGATGGATGGGTGGATGGAAGGGGGCCCATAAAGCCATCTTCTCCTGCTGGGGCTTCCCGTTTCTGGGCACTGGAGGGGGGGTTGCCTCCCGGGTAAGAATGATTCCCTTTTTCAGTTCAGAAATCTTCTGTGAACAGAGAAGTCTTTCTCTTCCCCCCCCCACTTTTGACTTTTCCAGAGAGACCTCCTTGTCAGTGGGAAAGACGAAGATCGAAAAGACTCTGTTTGTGCCGAAGGTGACAGAGAAGGACCTGAAGCGCAATTACACCTGCTTTGCCCATAACAACAACGGGACGGTCAATATGCAGGCGTTGGTGAAGCTGAAGGGTAAGGAGATGCCGTCAGAGGCAGCAACGTGGGCGGGTGGATGGATGGATGGATGGATGGACTGAGTCACACTGGCAACTCAGCTTGGGCATTTTGCCCCCCCCCAGTGACTAAAATGTGACTCATCACTCGGAGTTGAAAGGGGGCCCATAAAGCCATCTTCTCCTGGTGGTGCTTCCTGTTTCTGGGCAGTAGGGGGGTGGGTTGCCTCCCAGGTAAGAATGATTCCCTTTTTCAGTTCAGAAATCCTCTGTGAACAGAGAGGTCTTTCTCCCTCCCCGCCCTTTGACTTTTCCAGAGAGACCTCCTTGTCAGTGGGAAAGACGAAGATCGAAAAGACTCTGTTTGTGCCGAAGGTGACAGAGAAGGACCTGAAGCGCAATTACACCTGCTTTGCCCATAACAACAACGGGACGGTCAATATGCAGGCGTTGGTGAAGCTGAAGGGTAAGGAGATGCCGTCAGAGGCAGCAACGTGGGCGGGTTGTGTTTTCCAGAGACCCTGTGACTTCCAGCTGAGCAGAATAGGGGACACCCACCCACCCATCTGATCCGAGCATCTCAGTCCCTCAGGCATCTCCTTATGCATTTCACACAAAGTTGGTAGGGGCATAATCATAGAATAATGGAGCTGGGAGGGAGTTACAAGGCCATGGAGTCCAACCCCCTGCTCAGTGCAAGAATACAAATCAAAGGATATCTGCCAGGTGGTGGTTCGATTTTCTCTCGAATGCCTCCAGCGTTGGATCGCTCACCACCTGTCGAGGTCATTAGTTCCGTTGTTGTACTACTCTAAAAGTTAGGAAGTATTTTGTATTTTGTTACCTTTACCTTAACTATTTTAAGAACTTCATCAGTCATCTATCTTGGCTCTTCCTTTCTTTTGACTACTCAGAGGCAGCAACGTGGGCGGGTTGTGTTTTCCAGAGACCCTGTGACTTCTAGCTGAGCAGAATAGGGGACACACACACACACCCATTTGATCTGAGCATCTCAGTCCCTCAGGTATCTCCTTATGCATTTCACACAGAGGAGAAAGTTGGCAGGGGTATAATCATAGAATAATGGAGCTGGGAGGGAGTTATAAGGCCATGGAGTCCAACCCCCTGCTCAGTGCAAGAATACAAATCAAAGGATATCTGCCAGGTGGTGGTTCGATTTTCCTCCAGCGTTGGATCGCTCACCACCTGTCGAGGTCATTGGTTCCGTTGTTGTACTACTCTAACAGGAAGTATATTTTGTTACCTTTCCCTTTCCCTTAACTATTCTAAGAACTTTATCAGTCATCTATCTTGGCTTTTTCTTTCTTTTGACTACAGGTATATTCTTTTTTTTGCATTTTTCCTTAATAGCATCTCAGCTTTCTCTCCACAGTTCTTGTGTACATGGTCCATTTAGCTTAATAATATAAATTTACAATTATCCCAAATCTTCTTGGGAATTTTTTTTAGATGAATGAAGAGGAGAGAGGCACAACAGTGCAAACAGTAACAGCAGGCTACTTTTCTGTCTCTGCATCGCCTTGCTGTGGCCGTTGCCTCCAGAATCGTGTTCTTGATGGCCAGTAACTTAACTGCTTCCTGATTCTGTTTTGCCCTCACCACTCATTGGTCAAATCCTGAGATCCTCCTCTTCTTATCTTGCCGATTTAACAAGATACCAAGCCTTTTAAGCAGACCTTGGAAGAGTTACTTCCTGCTCCCAAATCCGGGACATGCTTTCTATAGGATTCTGGTCGTTCCGGTCCTCCAAAAAACTTGTCCAACGTCTGTCCCCAAGCAGCCACTGGGTTGCCTGCCCTCCTTCATTTCAGGACCGACTTGACCACACTCCCTCCGTGGGATGAGTTAGGAGGAGGAGCCGTCCTAGCATTTTCCTTTCCTTCTGCCGTCCGGCTGTAAAAAAACACCGATGAAACCGGAGCTTTGGCTGCTCTAAACACCCCTTTTTCCTTTCTTGAATCCCCACAGCCGTCGTCCCGAGGTACACGGTGGAGCTTGCCTGTGGCTTGGGCGCGACGGTTCTTCTGGTGGTCATCTTGACCATTGTCTACCATGTCTACTGGTTGGAGCTGGTTCTCTTCTACCGGGCACATTTTGGGACGGACGAAACTATCCTAGGTAAGTCCGTGGTTCCGCAAAGGTTCGTTCCTGGTCCGTTGACTCCCCCCCCCCCGGTTTTCTTATTCTTGAGAGGAGGTAGAGTTTTTAAAGGAATCAGTCAGTGAAACACAAGCACAGAGAGAAATGTCTGTGGACACAATCCTGCTGGTGGGGTTTATGCTGTGTAAGTGTAATGGCTTTTCCTGAAGAGGGGAGGTGTCGCCAATTAACGAGTTGATGCTTGCATTCCTGGTTTCCTGCCAGGCTGCGTGACTGGTGCATGACCAGGAGTGCGAGCAGCAACGCACAGATTTGCAGCAATTCACCAGGGTGCTTTAGAAAATGACACTCATGCTGGTGTAAATTCCAAACAGGATACTGGCCATAGGCATTCGTGTTAAAGTATATGCAGATTGGTGGCGGGTGCTGTTTTCATGTAAGGCTTTTGTAAATTTGATTTCTTCTGGGATTCTGTTGAGCCTTTTAAAGGTAACTCTAATAGAAAGAGTGATAGTACTGCTATGACTTCTTCTACCACTACTGTTATTCCTGCCTCTGCTATTACTAGTAGTAACGGTAATAGTAATAATAATAACTGGTAGCCGTGGATAGCCTTGTGTTCCATCAACCTAATCGCCCGTTATTCAGAATCCAATTGGAGCAGGATTAAACAGGCAAACGTGCACAGTTTTCTGTATGTATGTATCTAAAATTTTAGTGCAGTAGTTACATGCCCTTAAAGTTACTTCTGTGTTGACAGAAAAATGGGTCTAACAAAAAGCAAGAATGTTTAACAATCAAAGCTGTTTGGTTCCTCTAGTGGCTGAAGAAAACATTTAAAAAACAAAACATTAAAAAAAGCCAAAAGCAAGAATGTTTAACAATCAAAGCTGTGGCTGAACAAAATATTTAAAATATTGGGGTGACGGGGACCCCGCAGGGGTGCTTGGAGGCTATTAAAAGCAAAACTGCTCCCACTTCCCCATAAGGATACTGTTTGAAAAGAAATATTTTCCCCCAAAATTGGGAGGAATGGGGGGGGCAGGACGGTCAGGGATGAAAAATGTTCCTTCAGATGCAGTCCGTTGGGACTGCCTGCAACCCAAAGCTTGTATGTTGCCAATTCCTGCTTTGAAGCCATCCAAGTTAATGGCAATTTGTTCGATCTTGTGGCCTTGAGTTCCTCAGGCAAGCTGTGAGTGGTTGTTCTCTCTGGTTGACTCCACGGGGGTTCTAGTCATGGAACCCAGAACCTTCTGCACAAGGCACCTAATATGACACCTGCAAATCAGGCTGAGAACATCCCCTACCTTGGAGGGTTGTCGTCAATAGGAGAGGGATTGTACGCACATAGGATTTGTTCCATGTTTTGAAGCTGGCAGTGGCGCAGTAACATCAGAAATGCCAGAGAACCCCGGAGGATCTTCCTGGACTCCTGCCCTTTCCCAACCCCCGAGTGGCTGCAAAGTGAAGAGCATGGTTTGCAGCCCCCCCCACTATCCTTTCCTTGCTATCTCCCCCCCCCCCGTGCACGCCCGGAGACTCCTGATGGTAGGGGTGCTGAAACACAAAGCAGAAAAACTTGATATCCTTGCCGTACGGGGTGGCAGAATGAGCGCTTGTGGGGAGTAAAGCAGGGAGACATGGACCTCAGAAAAGCAGATTGGGTGGGTGGGTAGGTGGATCAGGCCCTACCGCTGCCTCGGTATTTGGGATGCTGGACTTGGTTTTACCCTCACCTGCTTGCTGCCTGCAAAATGGGCCCCCCTTTCCGAAAGGTGCTGCCTGTGAGAGCTGCCATTTGGCAAACGGGCCCGACCGGCCCTTTGTCAAACCCCGGATTTACCCCTTAGGGTGACTCCGGTCATAGGGCACTGCCTTGGCTGCAATACGATTTCCTGAAGCTTTCGGATTAAAAGCTGCTGCTGTGGTATTTTTCCCCACCTTCCCTTTTATTAAGCTCTTATTTTAGTTGTTTTAAAGGCTTTGTGTTTAGCACTTTTATAACCCGGGAGAAATGCATTTTATTATTAATAGCCGTTTCTCCCGCAAGGTTCCCATGTCAACACACGCCATTAAAATTAAAAAGGGAACACGTAATTGTTACACGCTGTCAAGTTGCTTCCCTGCAAATGAATGACCTCCAAAAGAGTCCTCTCCTAGGTCCCAAACTGAAAGCGGTGGCTTCCTTTATGGAGCCGATCTATCTCACATTCAGTCTCCCTCGTCTCCTGCTGCCTTCAACCTTTTCCCAGCATGATTGTCTTTTTCCAGCTAGCCTGAAGCAAAATACATGGACTCGTAAATTCATGCATGCATATTAGAAATAAACAAATGATGCTGCTGTCCAAGGAATCCCAGGTGAACGTTGTCATTGTCTCCTTTTCCTGCCCAAGTTTTGCAAATAATGATGATGACGATGATGGCCTATCCAGCTGATTCTGACTTAACGTCGATTCTTTTCAGGGTTTATTCCGGTAGAGAATACTCAGAAGGGGGTTACCGTCCCCTTCTTCTGGCAGGGGTGCCCTGGGACTACTGTGCAGCTGGCCCAAGGCCACCCAGGCTGGCTCTTTCTCCCAGGAGACACAGCCAGGGAATCGAACTCCCAACCTCTGGCTCTGCAGCCAGATACTAATTTGAGTTATCCAATGCAAAAGAGAGAGAAAGAAAGAGGGGGAGCTGTTTTCATTCTCGTATCCAAAGAGCCACAAAATATTTTGCCCTCCCAGGCCAAGAAGGGGAGTTTTTCGATTCGTCCGCTTTGCCCATCAAGACGAAACAAGCAGGGATTTGCTTCTCTGTGGGGGGGAGAGGCAGCCCGCCTTCTGCCCCCCACGACCCACCGCCCGTCTGTTGTTCCCATTCTGAAAGGAAGGCAGGGGAGGGAGAGAACCCAAGTTCCTCGCCTGCTGAAAGAGTTGTCTTCTTTTCTCTCCGCTTTGGTGTGACGCCGGTCAGACGGGAAGGAGTACGACGTCTACATCTCTTACGCGCGGAACGTGGAGGAAGAAGAGTTTGTGCTGCTGACGCTGAGAGGCGTTCTGGAGAACGAGTTTGGCTACAAGCTGTGCATTTTTGACAGAGACAGCCTCCCCGGGGGAAGTGAGTATCCCGAACTGGTGGCAAACGCAGCAGCCACCTGCCTGTTCTGGTCTCTCTCTTTCTCTCTCTCTCTGCCTCTCCCTCCCTCTGTCTGTTTCTCTGTCTCTTCTCTTTCTCACACACACACACGCACACACACACACACCTCTTTCTCTCAGCTACAGCCCAGAAGCACCGGGGAATCTCATAGAGGAGCAGAACGATGAGGTTTTATGGTTACCTTTTATCTGAAGGACTTCAAAGTCTCGCTAAAGCATCCAGACGAGAGGCTTTGTATTATTTGGCACAAGCCTTTCTTGGTTGCAACCCACAAACGTTTCTGCCAAATGAAATCTGTTTGTCTTTAAAGTACCACAAGCCATTTTTGTACCTTTAAAAAAGCAAACAACCTTGTGGCTTCTTAAAAGTTCGTGTTTTCCAATTGGATTTTTGCTTTTTCACCTCTTTTATGGTGCTGTGCAGACAGCTACTGTTTCCATAGGTCCTCTTTTCTCCAGAAGCCACCGTGCTCAAGAGGGCCTCTGTCTGCCCAGCAGGCCTTCCTGTCCAGTGCGTTCAGAGACCAGCGGGGATTGATGTCAGCCTTCCAGATCCACTTCCCATCGTCTCCTCTTCCCCTTTTGTGGGGACACGACGCCATTCTGGCAAGGGGGGCGGGGAAGGGTCTGGTTTCACTGTTTCCTTCTGCTTGTAGAAGCATGTGGGTTGCGACCTAACATGACAGGTTGCGATGGAGCTAACTCCGGCACCGTTGAGCTTCCAGGCACTCATCCTCAAGCAGTTTCTATCGGGGTTCCGTGTGTAGCTTGAGAGCAAGATCCGATAGACTAGCGGGAAGCGCAGTTCTACTCCTTTGGTATCTTAAATCACTTGGAATATTTTCTGCTGAGTGGCCAATAAGGAGGCCTGCTTGCAATCTCTCTCTCCCTCTCCCCCTGACTCCTAGAATCTAAATTCGGCTCGGAACAAGCGGAGATCAGTGTTAGAAGCTGTTGTGGGGCCAGGAGAGCGATCTGCTAGCAGGAGGAGGGCTGGGTTGAGAGGGGCGAGGGAATAAGGGGCTGTAAGTCAAAGGAAAAGCCTCTTCTTTCCTACGCCTTCCCCGCGTGTGTGTCTGTGTCTTGGAGACACTTTGGAGTGTTTGTAGAATGAGAAAACTATAGATCTGGGAGGGAACCCAGGGATCAGCAAATCCAAACCCCCTTCTGAAACAGAAGGTCCACAGCTAAAGGAACTCAGAGACAAGTGGGCATCTGACTTCCGTGTACAAATCTCTTAACGAAATACAGTCCAGTATCTTTCAAGGCCGCCTGTTGTTGCACTCTTGAGGAGCTCTTGCAAAATCAAGAAGTGTTTCTTAAAAGTTGAGGCAAAATCTCCTCTCTTGGGATTTGAACCCATTACTTTCAGGCCTTGCCCCCCTGGAGCTGTTAAAAAAAACAAGCTTGCACCGTCTTCCATGCGCCTAGAGGTGGCTATCATTTGTGAATTCTCTTTTCCAAGCAAAGCATACCAACAGTATCTTCCTGAGCCGTTCCTCACAGGCCCAGATCCCCAGACCTTTTACTCTCCTTTGGACATTTTCTGGCTCGCCGGCATCCTTTTTGAACTGGGATTCCTACACCTGTTGGTGAACGACAAGCTGTGTGTTCAAGGGAATCGGCTCTACCCATTGTGGACAACAGTGCCCGAGGCCTGCCAAAAACTGATGGTACCACAAGTGTGCTTTTAAATGAAGCATGGAACAGCCTGTACTTTCTGCAGCATCCAGGAATGGGGTGTGCCCCCCCTTTTCTCTGGGCCTGGCTTTATGAATGTCTGAAATTATGCAGAGCTGCTTTCAGATCTTCCTGGTCCTTGGGAGAAAGGCTGGGATAGGTCTGGAGCCCTGGAAAACGTATTAGTACAAGAGGCCATTTTCCAGCAGCCTGTGGTCCCCAGGCTCTTTAGGACCGGCACGAGGACACACAGGAAGGTTGGGCCAGGCTGGGCAGGCTGGTCAAGAAGCAAAGCTGCCAACCAGCTCTCGACTAGAAATTGGTGCGAATCAGGAAAAGAGTGATTTGTTTTGAGACGTGATTCGTCAAGGTCGACAAATCACAAATTTATGATTTTTTTTTCCTGATGAAGCAATGAATTGATTTGTTGATCTGTTTTTTTTTCCTGATGAATCAATGAATTGATTTGTTGATCTGTTTTCGAATTGAAAAGCTTATAAAATCGCCCCCCCACAAGTATCTAGAGAGACACCAAATTCTCAGAGACACGTCCCCTGACTCTTCTCTACAAGATCTGCAAGGGTGGTAAAGTCTGGGGTTTGGATATCTAAGTTATACACCCACAGAGGGCCCCCGATGCACCTAGAACAACCAAAATGACAGAGAAGCCTCCCATGACTCTCCTCTACAGTCCCTCCAAGTTTGGTGAAGATTCAGTTTCAGACTTCCAAGGTAGAGACCCACAAAATGGGTCCACCCAGGAAGGTGCCCTTTAGCAGTTGGCTTGGGGAAACCCAATCTTCCCAAGACTTGGAAGGGCTGGAGAAGAGGGTCAAAGGAAGCGTCCCTGCAATGCTGGTGTCACTAGGTGCTGTTATAGCCCAACGAATTGTCAAATTAAAAAATCACCCCAAAAATCATTGATTTGTATTCGTTAGGGGCATTGATTTGCATGAATACAAATTAATGAATTAGCGATTTTTGAACAAATTTGGTGATTTTTTAAAGAAAAATCCATGCCCATCTGTACGCTAGACCAATGGGGTGTTCCTTTCTGCCAGTTTTAGTCCCCGACGCCAGTTCACAGATGGGATCTGCCTCCCCAACCTTTGGCTCAGCTCATTCTGTTCCACAGCTATTTCAGGCCAAAAATAGGAGATGACTGTGCTCTTCCCTTCCCTGGCTTGGTGGGAACGCAGGCTGCGGTCCAGGTCTCTCTATCTCTTCCCCCCCTCCATCCCTCCCCAGCATCTGTGAATCTTTTCCCCACACTCTGTGGTCCTGTTCTCTTTGGGGAAAGGGATCTGCTCTGGTTCCACTTGCCAGTCGTGAGAGTCTGGCCACAGACGATTTAGATTAGGTTAGATACATGGAAGATAACGCCTATCTAAAGCAGATGAAACTATTCATCTGCTTTAGAGCAGAACAGAATAGACCAGGAAAGAACAGATAAGTTCAAAAATAACTGATCCAGTTGATCCCCTTTGAAATAGGCCATCATTCGTGGCCTGTCACTGCCACACCAAGCGGCTGAAGAGTGTGTTCATAGAATTGTGATGTTGGAAGAGGGTCCCTCAGGCCATCCAGTCCAACCCCCTGCTCAAGGCAGGAATCCGAATCAAAGGATATCTGCCGAGTGGTTGTCTTCAGATTCTCTTGAAGGCCTCCAGTGTTGGAGCGCTCACCAACTCCTGAGGTCACTAGTTCCATTGTTGTACTGCTTCTAACAGTTAGGAAGGGGCGAGGGTCTGCTGATTAAAGTATTTAGGGATAAAAGACTGGAACATAAGAAGATATTAGCAGTAAAGCTTTTGTAAGTATTGACAATTGTGCATTTCCCTTAAAGAAAACAAAAAACCACACACATACCCCAACTAATATTTCCAAGCAGGCAACCCAAATTCTACATTCAGGCTAAATAAAGAAAATTGCCTGTCTTTATCATTTTTCATTCATTCATTCATTCATTCATTCATTCATTCATTCATTCATTCATTCATTCATTCATTCATTCTTCCTTCCTTCCTTCCTTCCTTCCTTCCTTCCTTCCTTCCTTCCTTCCTTCCATGCTACATAATTGACACTTTCATAAATCCAGATTTTTTGGTACAGTCAAGTTTCTTCACCAGCCACAGAGGAAAAAGGCAGAGTAAGGAAGGGCATATGTATGTGTGTGTGTGTGTTCACTCACTCCCTGTTAGCATTTATTAGTCATCCTCCCAGATTAAAGCCAAAGAAGTCATTCAGTCCCATATGCACCCAGAAAAGCTTCCCGTCTGTCAAGAGGGGAGTGAATAAATAGCCCTCTTTCAGCGCTGCTGATGCCGAGGCAGAAAGTGCCACATTATATGCTTTAAAATAAGAATAAAGCTAGAAGGTGAAACTGTTACTGGGCCTTCTATGAAAAAAAAACTGCAACACAAAATAATAGTGTGAAAAAGCAACAAAGCAGAGCACAAAAATAAGCCAGTGAATATAAAAGTCTTGCCCTTCACTGGGTGGATTATGTAGGGCTGAAGCCTGCTGGCCATCTTTGGGAATGTTCTTCCACCAAGATAGAAGGTGTAGTTCAGGATGCGTACACTGTTCATTCATTCATTCATTCATTCATTCATTCATTCATTCATTCATTCAACTTCTATGCTGCCCATTTGGCTACCAAGACCACTCTGGGCAGTTCACAGCATGATGAAACAACACTTTAAAAAACATTAAACAGAATAATTCTACAAAACCCAAAATTAAACATACACAAAATACAAATGTCAAAATAACTAAAACTCATTTTAAAAAGCAAGATGAAGGGAGCAGGTAATCGAAGCGCTGAAAAAGCCTCTGCGCTAGGATCATGTAATCTCCTGGAAAGCCTGTCTAAGGAAATGTTTCCAAAGATTGTTTGAAAATTCCCAGTGAAAAGGGAACCCTAAGTGAACAGAGTTAAGCCTCCTGAGCCACCAGAATCTTGCTGAGCCCAGCTCCTGGCTTCTGAAACAGCTTCTTTCTTTTTAATATTTTTATGGGCCCAAAATTTGAGAAGATAAAAGCTCAGCATTCGAAAGCTCAGAATTCTGCCCCAGATTCCTGCACCTTCTCGCCTGTGTAGGTTTTGGCTGAGCCGCTCAATAGCCCCCAACCACCCCTAATCAGCTTGGTGTGTTTTCTCTCCCAGTTGTCACGGATGAGACCCTGAGCTTCATCCAGCGAAGCCGTTGCCTCTTGGTGGTGCTGAGCCCCAACTATGTCCTTCAGGGCACCCAGGCTCTGCTGGAGCTCAAGGCTGGC